ATCATGATTTAGGGCTCCTCATCCCCTCCCACTGCCAACAACAGCGTTTAAATACAGATTTAGTGAAGTCTGTGAGAAGGGGACCAAGGTTAATTGGCCAAGCTTAAAATCAATCAGATTATTGGCTATTATTTGCCATGATGTATTTGTGAAGCAACCGAGCTAAAACACAAAGATTACAGATAGCACCATATTGTAGCCATGGCAACATAACAGCCAACTATCAAGGTGATTCTTTGCACTTTTACAAAGTAAACGTCTTAGTTAAATATTAAATGTACATTTTTCTTAATTTTAATTCTGCTGAATACATTAAATCAAATTTAAAAGCATTGACATTCTCAATAAATGAATGATAAAGTTTTAGATCTATGATCTGTGTTACAATTCAACCATTTATAGGGGCCCTGAGGGGGCTAAAGGGGGCCCTCAGTAGCTACTGAGTTTTATTTGCCTTGATATCTCTGCCTTACAATTCTAGATCTCAGATGTGCTAACATAGAAAAATAATGTAGAGTTAACCCCTCTGAGCTTGTTTGATCTTTAAAGCAGACTGTAGCCAAGTTGCTATGGAGATTAAACAGTCAGATATTATCCATCCATCCATCCATTTTCTGAACACCCTTGTCCCTCAGTGGGGTCGGGAGGGGTGCTGGTGCCTATCTCCAGCTAACGTTCCGGGCGAGAGGCGGGGTACATCCTGGACAGGTCGCCAGTCTGTCGCAGGGCAGTCAGATATTATGAGGATTTATTTAGTAAAATAGCAGCAAATTTCATAAGCAAATTTGCTTATGAAATTTGTTGCTTCATAACCAGCAAGTTTTTCTCCTATGACCAACACAGCCCTCCAGCTCTGTCAGCAGCAGAAACCCATCAACAGCAACATTACACCTATTGGGGGACACAAAGCCAAAGTGGTGCAGTTGGTAGCACTGTTGCCAAGCAGCAGTGCTGTGCTGAGCTTTCTGCATGGGGTTTGCATGTTCTCCCTGTGCATGCGTTGGTTTTCCATGAGTCCTCCGGCTTCCTCTCTTGGGCATTGGGTGTCCCTGACGTTGTAGTCCGTGATGTACTTGATGCTCTTCCACATACACTGGGAGTTGTTGGTGGTGAAGTGATCCGGAGTTTTCTGGCCATATTTGGCCTTAGCCCTCACAATGCCTGTAGTCAGTCCTGTCCTCACCTCTGAGTGCTGATGCCTCATCTGTGCTGAACTTGGTGACCCGAGCTTTCAGCCAGGGTTTCTGGTTTGGATAACGGGTGGTGGTGGTGACATCATCAGCACACTTGGGGATGAAGCCAAGAACAGAGAATGTGTTTTCTCCAGGTCAGCACTCCCTCTTTATGTAGTCGCCTCTCTGAAGAGCTGCAGATCTGTGCACTGAAAACAGTCCTGGAACACAGTGACTGTCTTCTTCGTTGACGTAATCCGCCTCATCAACAGGCGATATGCTGTGTGTAGATGTGGTCAGAAAGGCCAGCATGACATTAGAAAGTTGCTCCTTTTATTACCTTTACATATGTTCTCTCTTTGTCTCTTAAAACAGGTATTTTACCCAAAGATTTAAAAGTAGCTAAAGAACAACTTTGTTCAAATCTGGGGATGTGAATTTATTCAGTCACTATCAGCTGATTTCAGTGTTATCTAAAGTACTTAAAAATTGTAAAGAAAAAAAATAAAAAACTAAAATAAAAAAAAACTTGTACAATCATCAGTATGAATTTAGAAAAAAAAAAAAAAACTTGTCCAGAAATATTTTTTCTCTGCCGTTTGTTGATAACTTTGTCAATTGGTATATTTGTAGGTTTTTCAAAGGCATTTGACACTAAATCATAAAATTCTTTGTCAACTC